TATATATATATATGAAAAAAGAAGCTCAAATCACTTTTTTCATGTTGCCCCTTCATTTGTGTCTCCACAGATCCAGAGCATCACTGATTCATCCCGTGGGTCTATCCGGCGTAAGAACCCGGCTGCTGTAACAACCCAACTGAGTGTGACTGAAGACCCACCTGCTGGCAGCAAGGAGGAGAAGCCCGAGGAAGAGGTAGGATCAACTTCTCCAGCAGCGCTGATCTCAGTTTGGAGTATAACGTTTGTTTTGGTCACAGAATTTTTTAAAATTTTTTAAAAAGCACCCTAGTGTGTTAAGATTTTTATTATTTAAACAGTGAAATGCAGACTAAAGGTAATCAAAGAACAGCAGCATTGAAGCATTCAACTGTCCATGTCTTAAAGGGGCAGTTTGAGATTTTGAATAATACCTTTATAGTGCTTGTATATAAAACTAAAGGAATGGTTTTATATACAAAGGAAAGGAAGCAACCTTTAGCTTAGCACAAATGTGACGCTAACCGCTGCTAGTGGTAGGGTCATGTTTATCATAAAAATATGTGAGTGATAAAGGTATCAAGCATTTTATCTAGCCCTTTGCAAGAAAGCAAGAAAGTATTTTGTTTCATTTTCCAAATATTAATCAAAAGAATCATCTAGAATCATTTGACTGCAGCAAAAAAGATGGATTCCCTTTCTGGTATTTTCAGTTTTCCGCTGAATTGATCTTATAGTATCTCATAGTATTTTCCTTTGAAGAACATTTGCATAATTTAATAGCCTTTAATATAAATAAAGCAGCATAAGGCTCCCTAATCACACTTCTCCTTCCTCTCCCTTTCTCTAACACTGTGGCTCTCTGTGACTTTACCTGCATTCCTACATTTCCACCTCAATTGTGACTCTTTCAACCTTCCATGTAATGTATATGTAAATCCACATCCGTCCACTTATCCTCTCGTCTCATAGTCAAAGTCGGCCTCTTCCCCTGTGTCCCCCCCTGCCCAGGTTCAGCTCATCCATGACAATACCACCCCGGCCAGCCCTGCAACCCCAGCCACTCCGCTGACCCCTGGAGAGGGGGCTCAGAGCCCAGGGGAGCAGGTCCAAATGACCTGGACTGAGAAGTGTGACGGCGAGCCAGCCAAGCCGCCTGGAGCAGCAACACCAGAGGGCATCAAAGACATCTTCAATATGAAGCCGTGAGTATTTTCCAATGCTTAGGGAACCTTTGGCTGTTATAAAACTGAACTACCCGCTGGTTACTAAGAAAAACAGAGCCTTGAGTCTCTTAATTGTGTTGTTTGCTTTCTTCGAATTATTGTAACACCAGAAATGGCTACTAATATAAGATTTAGGCTTGCATGCGGGAGAAATGAACTTCACTAAAGACATGAACAGTTTAGCACTGATAATGGTGTATTTCTCCTTTTGCCATGCTGCAGTGAGTGGGAGAACCTGTAAGTACTGAAGTCTCAATAAACGTCACTCAGTCCACTCATGTTTTATAACGTTCAACTCAACCACGTGAGCAGATGACAATCATTTTAAAAAAAATGTGTGACTGAGCGCCATGTCACCCATGTCTCCACTTGGCATCACAAAATTCTGTGTTAAAATAAAATGTCTGGATGCTAATCAACATGGATATATTTTGACTTGCTCTCTGTGACTTTGTCTATTCTCAGGAACCATTCCAATGTGCGACGTATGCATACAGCTCTCCGGCTGAATGAGGTCATTGTTAAAAAGTCTTCAGAGGCCAAGCTAGTCCTCCTCAACATGCCAGGGCCACCCAGGAACCGGACAGGTGATGAAAACTGTATCCTTTACCCAAACAGTAGGTTTACTGAATGGGGTCTCTAATATATAGGTGACAGAGGTGCCAAACACAACTAATCAGCTTTGACAGTTTGGAGTTGCATTTGGATGTCGGCTAACTGGTGAGAAAGAGATTAGAATATATAACATATATATGAGTTTGCATATGAGCTTATATAGATTCACCAGTTACTTTGTTATGTACACTTGTTTAGCTGCTTGTTATTGCAAATATATAATCAGCCAGTCACAGGGCAGCAGATCGCTTCATTAAGCCATGTAGACATGGTCAAGACAGCCTGCTAATGTTCATACTGAGCAATGGGGATGATAAGTGATTTAAGTGATTTTAAATGTAGCATGGTTGTTGGTGCCAATTAGGCTGGTCTATTGCTGGTCTATTGCCAAATAGGCTAGTCTGAGTATTTCAGACACCGCCAATCTTCTGGGACTTTCCATCTTTAGGGTTTACAGACGATGGCCTGGAAAACAGAAAACATCTCTGGGCCAAAATACCTTATTGAGGTCAGAGGTCAGAAGAGAATGGTTAGATGGGCAGAAGACCACACCAGATGCCACTGCTGTTAGCTAAGAACAGAAAACTGAGGCTATAGTTCACAAAGGCTCACTGAAACAACAGAAGATTGTCTGATGAGTCTGGATATGTGCTGCGACATTCAGCTGATAGGGTCAGAATTTGGCCACTTCAGGCTGGGGATGGTGGTTTAATGGTGTGGAGAATATTTTCCTGGTACACTTTTGGCCTCTTGGTATCGAATGAACACCACTTAAATGTTGCTCACCATGTGTGTCCCTTTATGACCAAAGTGCACTCATCTTCAAGCAGGATAACACACCATGTCACAAAGTTCAAATATCCCAAACTGGGTTCTCGAACATGTCAGTGAGTTCTCTGTACCCAGATGGCCTCCAGAGTTACCAGATATCAATCCAATAAAGAACATTTAGTATGTGGTCGAACAACTGTGTGATGCTATCATGTCAGTACAGCTCTCTGAGAAATGTCTCAGCTGAATCTATGCACAAAGAATTAAGGCAGCTCTGAAGGCAAAAAGGGGTTCCTACCTACTAGTAAAGTGTAAGTAATAAAGTGGCCAGTGAGTGTATAAGAATACTGTGTCATGGATGTGTAAGACAGTGTTTTATACATCTGTAAAGGTTCAGTTTCAAATTATAATTAAGTCTTCAAATGTTTAAATATAAATGATAAAATGCTTCTGAAATAAAATTCTGATTGTGTTAAACTTTGTTTATCAATCCACACACAATCATATTGAGTTTGGGCCTCGAGCCTCTATGTAACTTTGTGAACGATTTGAATTGTGTGTTAAAGCAATCTACAGAGGGTTTGGGTCAGTAAGTTAATTGTCTTGATTTCAGGAACAGTAATAATTTGTTATCAGAAACATTCTGTTTAATAGGTCTCTAAAGATCTAATTAGGATTTCAAAGCACAAACCATTATTGCAGAAATCAGAGAACTTTATAACTAATTTTTTCAGGCTTTAGTTTTATGTTTTTATTTTGTTTGTTTTTTTACAGTATATGAACCTAATTATGAAATATTTTTCTGGCAGTGTCCTTGCTTTGTTTACAACAATTTAAGCCATGAAGTCCAAGGAAACTGCTTGTAGACCTTTGTCATAAAAGTCAGGAAATGGGTATAAAAGCTTTGGGTATTTTCAGTAGCACTGTAAATTCAAAAATAGGAAAATGGAAGAAGCCAGAAATCACTCCACCTATATCTGATCATTCAGCCAAGCTTAGTACCAGACACCAGGAGATAACAAAAAGCCCAGCAGTCACTCTAACAGAGCTTCAGAAGTCCTTTCTACAGACGGAAGAACCTGCCAGAAAGACCACAATGTCATGAGCACTTCATCATTTGGACCTTTTGGGTTCGAGCAGCTAGACAGAAGCGAGTCTGACAACTTACTTGAAGTTTGTCAAACTGCATTTAAAGCCCTCTGACAGCATTAGGAAAAAGCTCCTCTGACAAGTCAAAAAGCGAACTCTTTGAATAGCACCAAAATCTTTTTAGAAGCAAGACGACAGTCATCTTTTGGACAGTTTTTTTCAAAGCTCATCTCAATGAATATATGGAGCAAACTATGATATAACACGAGTACGGTGCTTTAGTGGCTGCAGAACAAATCTGTGACTTCTCTTTACAAAACAGACAGACAGCTGCTTACAGATGCTTTCCATCCAGTCCGTCAGAACCCAAACAAATGCCAGGAAGAAAGTGATAAACGTTCCAAGTGTAGATGCCCGAGGCCTGTAAAACTGTACCTCCGAAAAACCTGGTTTCAGGTTTTCGAGGTTTCATTTTCTCATTATAGGTCATTAAGTGTAAAGTGAGCATCACAGAGCGAAAGGGGAACATTGTGAAGTGAGTGTATGAGCTGTTTCCTTAATCATTCTCTCCCAGATATGGAGTTTCTTGAGGTCCTCACTGAGGGCCTGAACCGAGTCCTCCTAGTCCGTGGAGGTGGTCGCGAGGTCATCACTATCTACTCCTGAAAGAGCAAACCCCCTCCCCTCATTATCACCCCTCTCTCAGCCCTGCTCCTGTGTCACTCGTACCCAAACCCTCTCATCAATGCTGCACCATTATTATATCATTCTTACAGTTTATTTCTATGACATAGTCCTCTCACACTCAACCAAATAACCCAGCTCAGCTTCAGCACCTCTCCGCCAGCTCCAACCCCAGCAAACCAACAAGCAGTATTAAACACTAAGCTACTCTCACTCCAGGCAAAAAACCTGCTATAAATAGTATAGGCTCTAGACTGAATTAGATGCTATCAACATTTGTTCTTGGAGACGTTTTTTGCTTTGCAAGATTGAAGTCTGCTACAGAAACTCGCACTGAGTCGCAGTGACTCGGTCAGGAGGAGGTGGTGATGGGGTCTGCATGGGTTGTTAGCTGAGGTGTGAGCACACATGCATGTATGTGTCTCTTTGCTTTAATCTAGGTAGATTTTATTTATTTTTTTCCCCTGTTCGAACACAAATGTGGCAAAGACACGGCTTCTCCACGGAGAGATCGAGAGCCAGATGAAATGAGATCAATGTAGGATTGTCTATTCGGTTCCCTCGTGGTGATCGGACACTTCCCACAGCGTTCCAGCCTGCTGTCTACGATGTGAATAACCGTTCAAGGCAAAAGACACTTCTACCCACAGTCAGTGTCACCTGCTAGAGGACGTATGTATGAGTAATTCACAATGGCATTTGAAAAAAGTGAAATGGCATGTGGATCAGACTTGCAGTATTATCTTTAAATTGATGCTCCACTCGTTCTGTTGATTCCATCACCTACACTCCTTTCAGCTCATTTCTTAGTGGCTGTTCATCCCTGTGGCCACTGTTAGTGCCAAAAAATACAAGGCTAGCTTAGTTTGTCGAGATTGACCCACAATTAAACTGTGAATAGCAGAAGCCTGGTGTGACAGCGGAGTGGGGAGAGATGACAAAGCCCCCTCTGAGGAGATTATCAGCGCCAGCACCCCTCGACCTCTCGTGTGGATCACTGTAAATAATGTACAAGCTCTGACGCGTTGTTCAGTATGAGTGTAGTATTTTTGTGACATACTAAAAAGATTCTAATGGAAAGGAAAAACAGAGACAGCTTAAAACAGCTGCTTTAAAAAAAAGGTTATTTATTTATTTATTTATTGGATTTATTTATTGGATGGCATAGGCTCCTTTCACTATGATAAGCGTCATTGTAACCTCGACAAAGCACTGCACCTGCACTGTCCACCACTGTGCGACGAGTGAAATTTTGATGATTTCATCAAGTTCATTAAGAAAAAAAAAATACTAAATGTTATTTTTTCATGTAGAGAGCAAATATGTATTTACGTTTATAGACTGAATTTACACATATTGATGAAATAGCTGTATATCATCTTGGCATTCATAGCTCTGCCACTGTTTTGCCAAACTTCAATACATTAAATGTGCCATATCGAAGTTTTTTCAGAGAAGTGGGAAACAAAATTCTGACAATTGAAGTTAGAGAGAACAAAGTGTCATTAAAAAAAAAAAGGTAAAAGGAGGCGTCTACGGGAAACTAGCATGGTGATGACACTGTAGTTGGAACTTCACCCTATAGATAATTAAAGAATACATGTTCAGCCCTCCATAAAACGTCCAGCTGTTGTCGATATCTGCTCTTGCTGAGTTGAGTTTTTGAACATCTATTGGTTATTTGTTTATAGGGTCTAGCCTAAATAAATAGAGAGGACAATGGCTTCTGTAGCTACTCACTTTGTCCACAAGAATGAACTCTATGCAGTAGACTACTCTCCAGTGAGATTTTCTATCCTATTTGATTGGTTGTGAACAAATCATATTTACGTTTGAAGAAGAGTGCATTTTTGAAGGAATGTGCAATGGTTGAAATCTGGGCTCGCGTGATCACGTTATTTATTTTTTTACACATATATTTTGTATATGTAGATTTCGTAAGTCTTATAAAATCCAAAATCATCTCACTCTGACCAAGGACAGCTGTCACTTTACTTTGATTGCTCCTGTTTCTTTTCTTAAAGAAACTGTTTTTGGTCATTTGCACTTCTAGTAGAAATATACAGTAAATATAAATAAACATATATATATATATATAAAAAATATATATACAGTATATACGATATAGGGAAGCAAAACAAATTAGTTTCTAGAACTATTTACAAACAGTATTAAATGTTTTTAGTGTTGCTTGAATGTCGGACCATATGTTGTGAATGCTGCTAGTATCTATAGATTTATTTGTACTGTAAATAGAGATGAGATAAATCAACATTAAAGATATAGTAAAAAGGGTATAGACATACATATCAGCGGTGGTAGCGGTGGTTATCTAACAAGACACGGCTGTACCTGTACACATTTGGCCCGTGATCTCTCGACAGGGTTAGCTTTCTGTTTTATTAGAAAACTATACTGAATATCTTGATGCAATATTATAACTGAGGGCAAAACCGTCACCCTTTATTGTCTTTTCTAAAACGTGCTCTCGAAATTACTATTTTTAATCCCCTGAGTAAAGCGAACCAGTTTTCGGGGAACACGTTTTCTGTTTAGCGCTTTTAAAGAAACCGAGTGGAATTGCCAAAACATTAAAACATGAATATTTGTTTTGAGACTTTTAAACACACCTACCTGTGACACCTGAAGACAAGTAGCCCACTCCTAGTTTCAAAGATTTCTCTGTGCCAAGTGATGAAGAATTTATTTATTATGCTTGTCACAAAAAAGGGGGGAGGGGGTTGTTTGACACTCACCTGTTTTTGAAGAACATGGTTATTTTGGGATTGTCTCTACAACATTGCCTGCATCAACTGAGCCTTTTAAATTTATTCAAAAGAAAAGATATCTGATGTTTATTGGAGAAGTTTATTGGAAATAAATTTAGTTATGGAATTATAAATGTTTTATAATTGCTGTTTGCATGGTACCATGTGGCAATATTTGTTTTAGTGATTTTATATCGTGATGACTTACATGTTTTAAGGTGCAGAGTCGGAGTGGTGGAGAAAGGTGTCAAACATTCTCAATGAGTTTCCGATTTTGAGAACTCAGGAGTGTTGCCGCACAGTCGGCAGCATGGTTTAACATTGAAAATAAGTTTGTTTTTTTTGCAAAAAACTCAAACAAAAAACAAAAACAAAATAGGAAAAAGTATGAGTTCACTATATTGTTAATCGTTATATTTCAATCTCGCTCAAGTAGTCTTATGTAATGTGATAGAAGATTTTGAGTTTGCAAATAGACGAGCCTTGGGAATAGTCATTTCACATTTTTGTAAATATGAATATCACAAATCAAGGACACTGTAATCTGCTAGTGTTGTCTTTTGTTGTACACTGTTCTATCACTGTGGGCAAAGTCTTAGAGTTTTGTAAGATTATGTGCAATATTGTTCTCATATTGGTATTTTTTTTTTCCCATTTTGTCATAATTTCAGTTTATATAAATAACTGGAGATGTCAGCAGTCTCTTAAATTTTTAGAGTGTTTGTCACCAGGTCTTTTGGACCAGAAAAACCTAAAGTGTTTAACCAAAATGTGGCAGAGGCAGCACAGCACTTTACACTGACGGGCACTCTGTGATAGAGGGGTCGGATGGCAAAAGAGCCAGCCCGCTCTGCACAGACTCTGTCCCACAGTGATCCCTGGTGGCACAAGAGTGTATTTACAGCCAGCTCTGGCGGTCTGACAGCTCAGACTAAAAAGAATAAATAAATATCATGAAATCCCATCATCTTGCTGCGGTTCCCAGCTGCAACAGTTCAGATTATTAATTTTGTTACATCTTATCATTTGACCGTTTTCTTGGACATTTTTAGCATGCATCACTTTTTTTCTTTCCTTTTTTTCCTTGCCAAACTTCTTTAAAAGAATAATAGTAACTGTTAAATTTCTAGTGCTTGTCACTCAATCTGTGAGGTGAGCCTTCCCAGAATTCCCCCTCAACCCCACTGCTCAGCCCTTCTGCCCCAGCTCCCTGGTCTCCCCCATCCCAACCACGAAAATCCACCCCAGCTCTGTATTTTAAATGTGACTGCAGTATAATTCTGAGAAATGATCAAAGAATATAAAACTCGCGCTTCCAAACCTGGTACAGGCTCTGCTTGGACAAGGTGCGATAGTCGATTTAAAAACCAGCACGTCCCTCTCCCCCCTGAACTGATCCGTGATTTAGATCAGATCTTTCACCTGCACAACTGTAGCATGAGGCAAACTTGCCAGTGATCATTACCCAGTCTCCATCCTAAAATGGATATTAAGGGCTCTGAAACACATCTGTTACTGGGTTGAGGAGGCTGTCGTGTTAAGACACCAACAGAGAAGTACAAAACTAATCCCAGATTATTGCAGACGGGGGGCACACAGTCTGTAGCTGAAATAAGATCCTACCCCCTCAATATTATCTTCACAGAAGCATCAGATGTGCCTGATATGGAAGGTAATGCAACAGCTGCACTTACATTTCACACAGTCGATCTCTCTGGGAGTCAGATGAGAAAAACTCAAGCGGCTATTCATGCAGTGCAAGCAGAGCCCCACTCCGGTTATGTTGTGTAACTCAGTGCATGCATGCAACTACCCCGAACAAGGTGTTTTGAAAATATATTGGGTGTTTGTGGTATAAAAGTATTTTGTTTATATCAGACACTTTTGTTTGTAGTAGTAGAATATTTTTCCTTAGCACTGGCCCATTGTATCCCAGGATGAATATTATTCTAGTATGAGATTCTATTTTTTATGGTAGATCTGTTGACATGGTCCTCTCATTGTGTCTAATAGCTGGAGATGAAGTGATTACCAAAGTATATTTCAGTTAACTACATAAATGAGTGTGAAAATGTGTGCTCCAGTGAATTAGATGAAGACATGTGCAAATTGTTTACCTTCTTATCAAAATTTGTAGCAAATGTCACTCCCCTGAGAATACTGTTTCAACAAGGTAAAACAAAGAACACTGGACGTGCCAAGGTATTATAGGAGACGCCTGCTAATTTTTATTTTTAAATGTTTGAAAAAGCAGTAAGTCTGCTGCCTGTCCAAAACTGGTGATGTACCTCTTTTCAGTCACCAGTTTTGGTTTTATTCAGTGTATTGTTAGAAGTATTTCCAACTACCAAAACGGATTTGCTATTTAGGCTTTCAAATGACCTTAAGAGGACAAGTTGTGCATTTTGGGAAGGGCACAGGTATTGGTTTATTGCATTTTGTGCAATAAACCAATTACGGCTTTATCAAAAGGTATATCCATCTACCAGCATCTCTGAAGCTCAAAACTAACACGCATCTAGTTTCCGTGATTGCTACTTCAAACAAGGCTTAAAAACATCATTTGTGAAAGGACTGTCTGGGCGTTAGTAAGTTGCTGGTCTTGACTAAGAAAGAGCAGAGTATGTAATCTGTCATTACAAACATTGTTTTTCTGTACAGTTTAAATAAGGGGTATACACAAGTACTCCGCTTTAACAAATGCCCAGTTTCATTTGAACGATTCAGGTATTGGAGATTTGAGTTTTTCTGCTACGGACTCTCTTATCACTCAACTTTTATTTAATGGATATTTCCCAAAATGAATTATTCCTTAATAATTGAGGGCTTTAACAAAAAAACAAAAAAAGTAACCAGTACCATAACCTTGTCACTGTCCAGACTTGTTTTGAAATTCACTGGACTTGTGGGAAACATTGTATGGATGCTCGGAGACAAAAAAATAAAAATAATGCACTGGATGTAGAGGATGTATACAGCATACACACAAAGACACAGCTGTATCTAATTCAACAATATTGAAACATTGTTTCATTCTGAACCGTTCTCTACTTCCTTGATACCGTACCTGGTCTTATGGTAAAGCCGTAGTGTGTTCCTTTCAGTTCTGTGGGAGTGTGTTTGTGTGTACATGTGCACTTGTACCTGCTGGGGGCGGGGGGTGGTCATGGGCGAGGGTGGGAGGGGGCTACGTGTAAATAAAATACAGTTAGTGTGGAGGTGTTTATTTTTTTGTGTCAGTGCAAGTTAAATATTCTAAAACAAAAAAATATAAATAAAAAAAAAAAGACCTGTATTATTCTCTATTGTGGTTCATGGTACATTTAAAAGAAAAAATAAAGAGGAAAAAGTAGTTTTATCTTACATTTCAAATGCTTATCTCTATGGCTTCTGGCGATACCCGTTCCATTTTATAGATTTGTCAGCACAAAATGCAATAAACCAATACCATTTTATTACAGGAATTGTGTCCGAGTTTTTAATTATGTCTTGTTTTGTTCATGAAAAACAAAAACAAAACAATGTTACAAATTAAAAGACTGTAAAACTATAAGACAATAGTTGGAAAAGAACTGAGAATTCCATCTGTAAGCAAAATGTACTTCATAACGAGACTGAATAATTATTTTCTGGCAAACAGCTGCAAAAAAAAAAAAAAGTCTTCACATTTTATGAACAATGGAGGAAAAGAGATTAAAAGGTTTTACAAAAACATCCCTACAGTCTACTGATACTAAGCAAGAAAACTCACTGCACAGGAAAGTTTATGGCATCGGAGGGGAAAAAAATAAAATAAAATAAAAATTCAGGGTTCTACAGCTTTTCAGTAGTGTCGGGGGTACATAGAGACAGGTGGGGCCTGACCCATGCTGGGTGCTGGTCTTGGGGCTTGCTGCTGAGAGGCCCCACTACTCACCAGATGGTTGAGAGAGGGTCCACTCTGAATGAGTGTGTCCAGAGCTTTCTGGACACTCGGGTTGTCAAAATTGATGCCTGAAGCAGAGGTGGGGGGTCTCTGAATACTGGTGGCAACTGGCATTCGGCCTGGAGGGTTTGCGTACCCCTGAGATGCAGGTGCAGGAGGACCTGGCATTGGTGGGCGGGATGGGTTTTGGGAAGGAGACTGGCCAAGAGATCCATATGAGTGTGACTGTGAGGGTGCAGAGGGGAGGCCAGTAGTGCCTGTTAACTGCCCACTGCCACTGTTGAACAGACTGAGGATTTTAGCCTGCAGCTCCTGCTGGTGACTGGGATTAGCCGAGGTGCTTGAACCCGCTGACAGACTGAGATGACCCGACTGTGGGGGTGTGTGAGTAGATGGAGGGAGTGCTGCAGCTGAAGAGGGAACTTCATGATGTACTGCTGGAGGAGGCCCAACATGGACTGGAGCTGTATGGAGACATATCAGTTATTTGCTTCTCTATAGAAATCATTGTATTCAACAGAAACGTCAATAACCATTTCCAGTCCACCAGTTCCTCTCATTTTTATGTGCATGTAAATGAAAAAAATTAAACCAAGGAGGTGGCATTACCTGCAAGGGGATCTGCTGTGCTTCGTACCAGCCGAGCTCTTTTGTCCTTCAGGTATGCAATCAGACTGTCCAACTCGTCTGGAGTCACAAATCTACCCAACAAAACAAGATTATTCTTTCAATACAGAGAAACTAAATATCATGTAGATTACTACAACACACCATCACTAACTGATGAAATGTTGCATTCCCCAAAGCCATGTTATTTCATTGTAAAGTCTCCATGTTTCAGGATACTTGTATAAAAGCATAAAGATTTAAACCAGCTACCTATTTTCAGCCAATAGTGTGATGTTAGTAAGTAAGGAGACGGGGTGGCTCTCTCGGTCAGGCTCTCTGAGTAACACATCATCTGCCATCTTCGCAGCCTTTCTGGCTATCTCCTCACGTTCTTTTTCACGGTTTTCGATTTTGTAGGTGTCATAGTTGTGGGCAACCAGCATCATGGCGTCCTGCATGGGCATGTTTCGATGCTCTGTAAGAATAAATGCAAGAAATGAAACCAAACAAAATAAGATTCTGACACTTCTGAATTACCTGAAACGTTCCAAAAAACACGTTAATATCATCCTGAATTACCTTGAGGTGTGCCAAACAGGATATTGACAGTGCAGGAGCGATGCACCTGATGTTGTTGGGTTATGATGATGGCAAAAGGAGTACGAGCTCGGCCTACATCCTCCAGTGCTTGAGTTAGAGACACTTCTGTGTTGAGGAAGATCAAATCCACCACCATTCCCAAGTCACGGACCTTCCGCCCAACCGTCTCAGCATACTCCCTACAGTTGGTTTTAAAGCACAAGTACAGAAGCACGCACGCACGCACGCACGCACGCACACACACACACACACACACACACACACACGAGCAGTATGAAATGAAAACATTCCATGTACTTTGAATATTTAGAGATGTTTCTGGTCCAGTATCAGTTTTTCTTCCTATAAACAACAGACTGTGGACATACTTTTGGGCTTTGTTGACAACAATTACAGAGCAGTCGACAGGACGGTCAGCGTCATGACGCCGCTGGAGTTCTTCATAGTACTGCCGATACAGTTCATTACGCCGGCGTTCTTCTGGTCGTAGACGCTCCTCTACAGGTAATGAGAGGTGGGAGTGATTTCAAAATAATGTCCGTTTAAATTTGTATCCATTTGAATTTAATTATGCAGAAATCCTGGTACTTTATATTCTTAGTGCTTTCAATTGTAAACCCAATATTACCAAAAAAAAAAAGTCAAGATATTAGAGGAAAATCATGAGAATTAAACCCAAACATGAGAAAAAAAACAAACAATTAAAATTCAGAGTATTCAAACCAATCAGTCCTAAACTATACCCTGTACACTGAAGACAACATACCTTCTGGCTCACGACGTCCATTCCAGGGATCTCCATAAGGATCCCTGTAGGTCTCGTCCTTCCTCCTGAAATAATCTTCTGCACCACTGCCACTACGGTAGTATCTGTCATACTCGCTTCTGCTGTATGGGAAAAATTTCAGGTTCAAACAAAAGCTTAACCATTAAAGACTCAGTGGATGGTTTGTCAGTCACCTGTAAGCAGAATCCCGTGGGTCACCTCTGATGTCCTTGTCTCTGCTCTCTGAGCTACGGTACCGGTAATCAGGGTCACGAGAGTGGCCACCTGGTCGAGGCTCCCGGGAGTCCCTCCCATCACGGCTGTCCCGAGGCTCACGTCCGTCACGCCCATAAACAGGTGAGCGAGACCGAGGTCGGGGCTCTTTGCTGTCCCCGTAGGTGCTGTAAGGGGCCCTGAGAAAAATGTTATCCATTAGTGCAGGTTAAGAGTTGAAGCTGCCTTTGAAATATTAGAAAACTGGAATGCCTG